ATATAATTACATATTTATAATTTAATTAAAAGACGTGTAAAACTTCATTACGCAAATTTTAAATTAATTGATATCATTGTAATGTAATTCTGCGCAATGTGGCACACTGGTAGAAATATTTGAGCTTTTATTGAATCAAATACCGAAAAAAATAAAATAAAATAAAATGAAAGTAACTTATTAGCGATCACGATTTTTGATTCGCGCGTTTTAGTATGGTTTTTAAGCGTCAATGTTCTACTTTTCCATCATCTCACGAAACATCATACTTTAACGGTTTTAGCAAGTTACAGATCAATATAACCATTGTTGTTATTTCTTTTTTTATAACAAAATTATAAAATATACATTACGTGTGCATGCATGCACATAGTCATGTAGAAAATAAAAATGGTGTTGATGGGAAGAGAAAATTTTCGTTCTACGCATATTGCGAAATCGGCATCTCATTTCTCTTCATCGAAACGTGCCGTACCTTTCGATCAAGAGAGACGCGCGCATGTTTTTCGCTGGACACTTTGCCTGCCTATCCGTATGGAAGATGTCCTATAATACGCTACTTTAATTTTAATGAGATATTCTCGAACACACAAACTTGCAGTTGACTTCTCAGTAATAAAAATATCTAAATGCCGATAATCCAAAGTTATAAACGTGAAAAGCCATTACCACTTTCCGCGTAATGGCAAGCTTCTCAGAAAATTACTATAATTTAAATAATGTGTTTGTCTTTTTTTGTAATTGCATATTCTTTAATTAATTTCAAATAATTGTTTATACAAAATTATTTGTACAAAATTGTTAATACAAAAATATCAAGATTATTACATGATATATAGGATTATATGAATTCAAAATTTTTATGAACTCAAAATTTTTTATGAAATCGTTAAAGCTTTTTTATACTCACGTTACAAAATATTCTACATAAAATTTAAGTGTTTTGAAAGAAACCGAATTTTAATTATAAATTTATGGATCATATCCTGTATAGATACCTGTATTATCTTTATGCTGACACGTCCGAAAGAGAGAAAGCAGGTAGATCTTGTTTGCTGAAGTTATCTATAGATAGCGTTACAGTTCTACAGATTCTTCTTTCATTACTTTATTAATCTTAACTTTGCTTAAATAACACTAGTATGTTTTTTTTTTTAATTTCTAACAATGTAATTTGAACATACTTAAAGGCAAAATAAAATTTCTTTTAAAAATGAAACATTAAAAGTTAACATAAAGACCATTTTTATGATTATTTTTGATAATGACTCTATATATATATTTTTCTTGAAAAGAAGAGAATTTTACAGTAAATATTGTGTGCATTAAAGAGAATATATAATATATTGATAAATATATAGTAAATGAGTGATTTCATAGGGACACTGGATCAATTACGTAAGCGATTGCAGGTGAAATTTACTTTCATCTCTTACAAATCGGTATGATGCGTCCAAGGACGCTGCGGGATTGGATTCGGATTTTGATTAGCAAAATTGAAATGTATAAGGAAAAGAGACATAGAATAAATTGTAGCAAAACTTTTAATTTTATCGAGTAATTGAAATTAAATAGAGTTACAATCTATGTAATAAAAATCTTTTTTTTTAACTTTTTGCTCTTTTTTATTTTTACAAAAATTCTCTCGTTTGAAAAAATACAGCTATAATATGCCAAAAGTTGATTTGGATTTATATTTATGTACATTATTTTATTCTAGGTTTTTTGGCATTATTATTTGATTTATGTTTTGTTACAGTCGAGTCATGTACGGTGTTCCATGTATCGCAGCATTAATTACTAAACTAAATAAACTATGTTAAATTTCTTATTAACCACTTATTAATCACTCAACCCATCACATTTTTAATTGATCAATAAAATTTTTATGAAAATCGTAGTGTGTAGACATAATCCGTTTTCATCTGATCTTATGCATTATTATTATTATTATTATTATATCAATGTATTTGTATCATTATATATGTGCATAATATATACAATATCCCATATACAGATTAATTAATAAAACATTGATTGCTCCGGAACTGAAATTATAGCTCGCCTGTTGTGTCATTATAATAGAGAGTGTAGCAATTTTGACGCAATTGCAGATTAGTTACGGCAGATGCACTTTACGCCATCTCACAAGTTGAGGAGATTTTTATATCGCTTTTTTATCTTAGAAACGCTGAATCATATAATTTTCCCATTCGCATAATTCGTGGTTATAAAATCTTTTCGTACTTTATACATACCAGGTGTATGCAAAGGTTTTTTCCTGTTTTTTAGTAAAAAAAGACACGTAATTTTCAAGGGAAATTAATTTTTTTTTATTCAAAATATTGGCCATCGGCTTCTACACATTTCGCCCATCTTTCAGGTAATTTATGTATTTTATGTAATTTATGTATTTTTACCAGAAAAACTGCTTGTCTTTTGCGGTAAACCATTCGTCGAGCCATTTTCCAATTTCCTCGAAATTGCTGAAGTGCTGCTCTGCGAGCGCGTGCCCCATTGATGCGAAGAGGTGTTAGTCAGATGGCGCCAG